CCGGCTCAGACTGCTGCAAATCACTAACAATACTTGTGAACGGATGGATGTGTCTGAAATGTCACTCTGTTTCTCGGTTTTTCATCTTTGACAAAACAGCTCATATAGTAATTAAACTGATGCCTAATTGGTTTGTGCAAATACTGAAATGTAAATACAGGAACACCGGATTCTCCACTTATTCTCGCAAGAGCTCTGCAGCTGACCAGGGCAGAGCCTGGTTAGTACTGTGATGGGAGACCTCAGGGAACACCAGATGCCACAAAGGCGGCTGCGGCTGTAAAGTACCAAATGTTGTGTCCTTAGGCAAGACACTTCACCCCTATTGCCTAGAATGAGTTTGGTGTGTGTGTGAATGGTTGGTGATGATCAGAGGGGCCGTTGGCATATACTGCTTACCTCGCTTCTGTCAGTGTGCCCCAGGGCAGCTGTGGCTACAGTAGTTGTTTATCACCACTGTGTATGGAGAGAGAAAATTTATATGTGAGGTGTATTTGAGTGACCAAAAAAGTTCTGTATAAACGTAACCTTCAATGGTGTGTTTGGTATCTCGCTTCAGTCATTAACCAATGTCTGAGATAAATGTATACATACATACTTAATACACACACGTTGTCGGAGCGGCGCATGGAGCGCGCACATCGGGTCATATCTCCGAAACTGAGGACAACTAGTTGCCGAAAAGTAGAACACGGGCAACTGACTGGAAACTGGAGACCGACTGTTCATCTCCAGTTGTAAGAGCGCGCACACCGACCGATTTCAGCAACTGATCATCTCCCACCATCTCCTCTCAGTTGCCAAAAGCCGCCTTGCAACTAGTTGTCCCCAGTTTCTCTGTCGATGTACGCTAGGCTTTAGGGCACACTGACTGAAGAGAGGCAACCCATTTGTGCCATTGGGCCCTCCAATCACCACCAACACACCAGATTTATTCTAGACTATATGAGTAAAGTGTCTTGCCTAAGGACCTGATGGTAGTTTCGCAATGTACAGTCCCAGCATCTAACTGTGGCACCTGGTGTTCTCAAAGGTCTCCCATCACAGTCCTAACCAGGCCTTGCCCTGCAGTTTCATAGGTCTGATGGGATCTGGCTTTCGTATGCAAGTTTGGCCACATCTATTGTTTGTGCCGTCAGCAGCAGTGAGTATCTACATCTCTCATCGAGGCCATCTGCAGAATCTCCATTGGAGGATTTTACATGTCGCGCTTCGCAAAAGGGACCAGTCCGGCCCAGGGATTGAACCCACAACCTTCTTGTTGTGAGTGCAGTCTTTGTGCAGCGATGCCAGAATCATCTCCTCAGAACTGCCGTCTGTACTCATGGAGCTGCTGTCATTTCCCTCATGTTTCACCAATCCAATGACATTTATTCACAAAGGAAATTACATGGATAATTAGACAACAATCAATTCTAACAAGATTAAATATGAGAGATCGCTCCGTTTTGAAAATGTGTCATAAAATCGTACTTCTCTCACTTCAATCTTCAACAAGTTTTGTTTTTAACAGATGAACAGATCCTTTATTCTTTACACAGTGGACAAATACTAAAGTAAAATAAAAGGAAGAAGCAATCCTAAAATGTTAGAACTGCACAATCACTGGAACACTTTCAATCATGTAAGACTGATGAAGGTGTGGAGCTCTATGAACCTCACTGCTGCGTACGGTCAGGATGACAGTGGTACACCTACACCCCGGCGAGAGAGAGAGAGAGAGAGAGAGAGAGAGAGAGAGAGAGAGAGAGAGAGAGAGAGAGAGAGAGAGAGAGAGAGAGAGAGAGAGAGAGAGAGAGAGAGAGAGAGAGAGAGAGAGAGAGAGAGAGAGAGAGAGAGAGAGAGAGAGAGAGAGAGAGAGAGAGAGAGAGAGAGAGAGAGAGGACGAGATTTATTTTATCAATAAACCAGTTCAATTATTATGTTTATACAACGCAACACATCATAAAAACATCACATCAGTTAGAAACTACAAATGTACAAAAGTGTGTATGTGAGAGAGAGAGAGTGAGGGAGAGAGAGAGAGAGCAAGAGAGTGTGTGTTAGAGGGAGAGACAGTGAGAGCGAGCGAGAGAGAGAGGGAGAGAGAGAGAGAGAGAGTGTGTTAGAGAGAGAGAAAGAGAGAGGGGGGACGTAGACAGCCCATTCTCTCAGATAGAGCCTGGCACAGTCAACGCGTGGAGCTCAAGCAGACAACAGCAGCAGCAGCAGCAGCAGGAGCAGTCTCTGGACTTTTCTGGTTTTTTTTTTCTTTTTTACGCACGCAATGGACTTCTCCTACGACAACTCCCCGGACCAAACCTGGCACCAAACCCAACTCCTCTCCTCCTCCACCTCCTCTTCCTCCTCCTCCTCCTCCATGCGCCTGATCCAGCGTGAGACCCCGCGGTGGAACTTTTCCGCGGAGCCATGAAGACGATGATGAGGACCGTGTGTGCATGAGGCGTGCGGCGTGTTGGGGACGTGTGGAGAGGAGCAGAATGTGTCCCAGGTACAAAGCGGGGAAAGTGCGCACAAGTCGCACACAGAACCCACAACAGCAGCAGCATCAGCAGCAGCAGCAGCAGGAACAGCAGGAGCAACAGCAGCAGGAGCGGTCAGGACGCCAGGCTGGTGCAGGCTCGGAGCGCCTGGGAGAGGGGACAGAGTGGATACATGGGAGACCTAGAGACGCGCAAGTGTAAAAGGTAACGCCAAATAACTAAAACAATAATAATATCATGAATTTGTAACAGATTTTAAAGATTTTACCTGTGACTATTGGCCATGTTTGAGCTCACACTTCAACAAATGATGTCTAGGTAGATATTGACTTTTTAACAAGGACTCAGAACATTTTGCTACGACTAGAACTCCCAATCCCGTCATTTTGACTGCTCCCAGCCAAACCAATGGGATTCTGAGAAATTATACCCCACTTTTTGTATTAGTTCTACACCAGTTTCACCTTTCAGTCTTTACCTGAAAAAAACTGAGCAGTCTTTTTTTTATTTTTTATTGTTTTATTTTGTTGCTTTATGCTGTGTTATTATCTTTCATTTGTTGTAGTGTTTGTGCCTGCAGCACTTTGGGCAGCTGGTGTTACTGTAAATGTGCAAATCAAAATAATCTGACTTTGAGATTGATGTTGACAATGGTAGATTTACTCACAATAAAGAAAGAGAAAACATTTCATTTCAAAATTATGTCATAGAAGTAGACTGCACAGAAACGGTCACAAAGTTATGAAGTCCAACAGAAATTAAAACCGTCAAATTGACTGCTATGGGGGTTCTCGTGTTAATCCCCGGGGGACAGGGCCGTCTCTGTGCCCTGTCCCCGTCAGAACTGCTCCTCATTGGCTTGTTTTAAATCTCGTCTTAAAGATCACATTAGCCTTCATTTCTGGCTCTCTGACTGCTTTTAGCATTTTTAAGTTATTTATGCTAATCGTTATCATTGTGTATATTCTGAAATGTATTTGATTACGTATTTTGGCCTTAATTTTTTTTTCAATTGTTTTGATCTCATCCTTCCATATTCATTCCATGACTCTGGCTGGTTTATTTGGACTAATCGAACGCCTGTTGAATTCTGATAATTTGCCCAAATTTAGCATATATCCCCAACTGTTTTGAGATCATACTTAGAACTATAGATTTATGACATTTTTCATTCTATATGTTTTATATTACCTTTTACTCTCTGGCTTTTGACACAGAGTGAGTTGTGTGGTCCTCTGTTTTTAATATTATTATGATTTTTTATTGTTTACAGGCTGCTATTTCTTAACATTTTTACACTCATTAAATTCCCTTTGTTTTCTATTGGAATGGCTTGTATATATTTATTCTTATTTATTTATCCTATGATCTCTTCTTTTTTTGGCCCCTTTTTTTGACTCGACAGATTGACTGTTCACTGTTATTGCTGTAGTGCTATATATATAAAGTGGATTGAATACAGTCATATATTATATATATTTATTTTATAGTACATTAAAGTAAAGTACATTTTGACTGGTGTAAAGCAAGATTATCCAATGGGGGGAAAGATATATATCGATAAATATACTCAATTTAAAAAGACTACTGTTTGTCCCATTGGAAAATCTCTAGTTTTAAGACAGTCTTAAATCAAGACCGAAACACTTACATTTTTTTGCAGTGTAGCAGGGTGCAATAAATGATTCGGCTTCATGCATTTTAATGATATTGCATTTTTAATAGTTATTTCTGAGATACTGCATGGAGTCAATGGATACATATCCCTAATTGTATACTAAACAAGGAACTCTCTATTCATTTAAAGATTTTCAGCCATGCAATCAGAATAACACATTTTTAAACAAAACAAAATAACAGATAATTTATGAATAATTATCAGGATGGTTCAGTCAACTCTCAAGCTCACTGGAACACTAACCCTGCAAAAATATGTCAAAAATGGCTCAATTTGACAAGCAAACTAAAACAGATCTTGTTTTAAATAGATACAATAAATGTCTGGGATGAGAAAATAAAGCAACAGTTCTTGAAATAAAACTAAATTCCATTGTCCCATTGGAAAGTCATGTTTTAAGGAAGTCAGAATGTACCCAATTAACAGAGCAACCACTCGATTTGAGCAATTATTACCTCATATTTTTTTAAAAATTGCAGTGAATATAACCAGGAAGTGTTTTGTATCCCTCCCCATTTTGCACTTTCGTATCATTCCAACATACAAGTGCCCGTTCAGTGGCTAAATCCCTGCTGTTGCTAACCGCGGCGAGGGTCAGGTCACTATAATTGGACTCAGTTTGATGGCTGTCTTGTTTCCCCCCCTCCCCCCACCTTCCTCACCCCTCCTCCCCCCTCGCACAAACACAGACCCACTCCTCACTCACAACAGCACTCCAGAAACATTACGTAACGATCGAAGCGCCTTGGCCATAACTCAATGCAAGCTGTCAATAGGGCCCAAAGCCAGGTTGAATAAATGTGTGTAATAATATGATATTCAGGGTGAAGTGGACCACTGCCGACGAAGATCTGGGAGGATCGCGTCTCCCCACTTTTTGTTCATAACTGCTGCTGCTGCACTGGTCCTTCGATATATATATATACTGTATATATATATAGCTCGGTTCAGATTTTTGCTGTTTCACACGAGGAGAACATGCAAACCTGGTCTGGAGGTGGAATTGATCCAAGGACCTTCTTCACCCGCTTCACATACAAACACGACACGAGAAATTATTGCTTGATGGACGACGTCTCTTCCGGGCAAAGATCCATGTCCTCTGGTGACTCCCCTTCAGATTTGTCTGGGATCAAATGTAAAAAGTAAAATGAGAATCAAATTGTTGCGTTTTAAATATTTAATCAAAAAAAATCAAAAGAATAATCTTGAGTGATTAATAAACAGAAAAAAGGTGCCTTGCCCTCTCCAGGTGTGTGGGGATGTTCTTCCTAAAGTGGCTGGGCGCTCCCGTAGAGACTCTCAGTCACACGGGAGGAGCTCGGAGTAGAGCCATTGCTTCTCCACGTCGAGAGGAACCAGTTGAGGTGGCTCGGGCATCTGTTCCGGATGCTTCCTGGACGTCTCCCTGGGGAGGTGTTCCGGGCACGTCCCACCGGGAGGAGACCGGGAGGGACTATGTCTCTCAGCTGGCCTGGGAACGCCTTGGGATCCCCCCGGACGAGCTGGAGGAAGTGCGTGTTGATAGGGCGGTCTGGGCGTCTCTGCTTAGACTGCTGCCCCTGCAACCCGGCAACGGGTGAAGCGGAAGACATTTTTTAAAACATAATCGGTAGTTACAGCCCAAGATGAAGTCATAATCAGCTGCTAAAAATTGTTTAAATCACACAAAAGTATCTATGATATAGACTCATTACAAAGTAAAAAGTTATGAAAAATAAAAATGGCTAAATGTTTCTTCATTTATACAAATTCCGACTGCCTTAAAACAAGATTGATCACTGGGAAAAAGCAAAATTATGAAAAAATAAAGCAACAGAAACTTTGCTAGTTTGGGGCCCCTAGTTTTAGGGGCCCCGTCTATAAGCTAATGCAGCTTCCTGAGAGTTCCCTTTTTACAAAAGACCAAACAACCCTACACTATAAAAGTGTATAACCTATATGCATGGCTACAAGTTTTGTAAATAAAAGAATTGAGAAACGTGAAATTAGAAGACAATGTTTGAAATGTAATCAAGATTAATTGATTAATGGGAAAGACAAGAACACATACATAATGTACATAACAGAAACATACAGACATACTGTATATACTGTAAGATTTTTGTTTTCACTCCTGTCATATCTCAGAAAGGAGTGGGAATAAGCCAAACTTATGAACTCCCATCTCCTAATTTTCAAAGTTTTTGATATCTTACTTTGCTTGTAACGAGTGTCATGTATCAGTTTCCAGATCCTGAGTCGAATAACAGAAATAACTGGACTTTTGAACAATGAACTCAATGTCAGCTGTAGTAGTTTTGTCAAAGTAAAACAGTAATACTAAATATACATATGTTTAACCATAAGGCTGAAATACCTCTTTTGCTGCTCAGATTTTATTGAATTTAAATGATTATGAAACCTGTTATGAAATAATATCTGGTTTACCATATTACCCTCTCTCTGTGTGGAGGGAGAGACAAATGCCCACAACTGTAAACCGCTTTGTAACTCTGGTCTGTGAAAGGCAGTGTATAAATACAGATTACTTACTTATTTATGTATGACATCTTTAGTCTTGATCTTTAGAAGGAACTGTGCGTCCGTCTGCCACAAGCTGAGGCGATTCATTAAAAAAGAGACAAAAATACAAACTAACAGCGTATACACTTCAAAAGAAGGACTGTCAGACTAAAGTCAGTAGCATAGTCTGTATGTACAGTAGATGGACAATGCTAACCCGCTAGCTCAGGCAGGACCAAACTAGGGCCTGAGGGCCACATTGGCCTGCTGTGTAATTCAATCCAGCCAACTTCCACTTCTGTGGGAGTGTTTATGTTAGAGCGTTTTAAAGCTCAGAACCTTTTGAATCCATGTATGCACTGACTTTTGTTTTTCCTGACGGTACAAAAATGTGTCTATGATGTAGCTTCTGAGAAAACTATTAAACTGACCTTGGTTCCCACAGATGTGTTTATATGTTTAATGTTCATGTTTTTACCTCATATAGTATCAGTATCCCAAAACTGACCAATAGGGAAGTTTTCATGGTAACGTTTGTGCGTTCTTATCTGCATCGACACACACCTTCATCTGTCGACCATTCCTAGTACTACTACTACTACTACTACTGCCACCACTACTATTACCATTCCTAGTACTACTACTACTACCACCACTACTACTAGTTTTTCTACTACTATTACTACTACCACTACCACTACCATTCTTACTACTACTATTACTACTACTACTACTACCGCTACTTTTACCACTACTATTACCATTGCTAATGCTACTATTACTACTACCACCACTACTACTACCATTCCTAACTCCTCTCAGAGAGGCCCGGTTCTGACCTTCTTGCTGAGAGGCCACCCATGTGCTATATAAATAAACATGACTTATTTACTCACAACTACTACTTCTACTACCATTACTACAACTACTAGCACTACTACAACTATTAATTCTATGAATATTACTAATAATACTGCCACTACCATTACTACTACTGCTACTACCACCACCACTGATTCTAATACTACTACTACTACTACTACCGGTACTACACCTACAACTACTACTACCGTTTTTAGCACTACCACCACACTACTTCTTCTTCTACAACTATACTACCAATATTACAACTACACTGCCAAACATTAATTTTGTGAAACAGAATTTTAAAATAGGGAAAATGGCTTATTTTGAAAGGACAAGTACATTCTCACATTCAGAATCAAATTACCACCACCGTTTACACCTGGCTGCTTGTACAATGCTCGCAGCACAGTCGCTCAAATTCGCGTTGAGATTTCTTGCACGTACGCCGCCTTTATCAGCGGAGAGAGACGAGTTTGCATAGAGTATGTTTTTAATAAAGATTAGACCAAATGTACATAGAAAAAGAACGCTCCAAAAGTCAGATTTCCTCTCACTGTCACAGCTCAGGCCGATATATTTGACCATACTACCACTGTTATGAACCTGACAATAATGATAATAATAATACTGCTAATACTACGCCTATACTACTGCCACTGCTACTACTAATAATATTAGTAATACTACTGCTGTTACTACTACTGGAACTACTAGTGCTGCTGCTCCTACAAGTACTACTGCTACTACTACAATTACTACTGCTGCTGCTACTACAAAGAAGTTCAAACAACTGCTACTACTACGACAGAAAGAATAATACTCCTGCTGCTACTAGCACTGGATATCACTCTAGCCTCTCAGCAAGAAGGTCCTGGGTTCGAATCCCGCCTGGACCAGGGCCTTTCTGAGTGGAGTTTGCATGTTCTCCCCGTGTCTGCGTAGGTTTCCGCCGGGTACTCCGGTTTCCCCTACCACTAAAACATGCACAATCGGTCTGGCATGCGCTTCCTGTTTGGCAACCTCTGTGTGGAGTGAGAGACAAATGCCCACAACAATTGTAAACCGCTTTTTGATACTGGTCTGTGAAAGGCGGTATTTAAATAAAGTTTACTTACTTACTTACTACTACTGGAACTACTAGCGCTGCTGCTCCTACACGTACTGGTGCTGCTGCTACAACTACAAAGAAATTCATACTACTGCTACTACTACAGACATACTAATACTACTGCTACTACTACTACTAGCACTGCTGCTACAAATAAATGTTTACTGCTACTACTCCTACTACCGTCTCCACTATTACTTTTATAAATACTACTTACTGCTACTACTACCAATACTAATACACCGAAGAAGTTAATTTTGTATAACAGGAATTGAAAAGCAAAAAATTACTACTACTTCTACTACTACAACTACTACTATTCACACTACTACGGCATTGACTTTTCTATCTGTTCACCATTAATGTTACTATAATTACACTGTTAAATAATGCATCGTCTGTCATGACCACTATTTTATTAATACTTAGCCACCATTTTGAAATATGGTATTATAAGTGATGAACATATTAAAGCTACTTGGACTGTTTCTACGGCGACATTTACTCCGAGCATTCTACTGTTGTATTTTCTGACTGTGGATACAACAACATTACTTACTGTCCCTTTAATTTGTTCCAAGTTTATGTTTCTATAATTACACTGTTAAATTATGTATTGACAAGCACTGTTTCTTGATGTCATTAAAGGAGACTAATTATGCAAATGTTCCTTAACATTGTCCCCTCATCGTAAACAGACCTAGAGTCGTTTTTTAGCTCCATCCATGCTAATATCTTTTGACACAAAAATGTACAGTCAATCTGCAACTTCTGTCACAAAGCTTCTGCATTCACACAATGTGTTTTGTTCTATTACCACTATTTATAACTACTGCCAGCACTATTATTATTACTACTGTTACTACCACTACCACTACCACTACTACTACTACTACTACGTCTACCACAACAACTTATTGAACCTCTGAAAACAAGATTCTCCAATGGGACATAGCCATTTAGTATTTTTTCAAGAACTGCCGCTTGTTCCCCCCGTGTTTGTGTAGGTTTCTGGAGTTGGAATCTGGGTGCTACTGTTAAGGGGAAACAGTAGCACCCGGATTCCAGCTCAGGTCTGGAGATGGGACCCCGGTTGCTGTACTACGGCAACTACTGCTCCTGACGGAAGCCTTAGTGGCATCAGGAGGGGTCACATCCTGATGCCACTAAGGCTTCCGTCAGGAGGATGAATTTTTGTCCCATTGGAAAATATTGTCTTAAGGCAGTTTGAATGAGCTTCAATTAAGATGCATTTTTCCAAATTTGAAAAAAATATATTTCACAGTGTACCACCACTACTACTCCAGCTTCAACTACGAACACTACTACTGCTACTACTACTACTGCACTACTACTCACTTTGAACACATTACTCTATAAAACAGCCCATCTCCCTTGCTTGTATGGTATATAAACACATTTTGTCAGTTAACCTAAGTAGCTCTCACTATAAAAACCATACCCAAGCATTGTACTTCTTAAACATTAGCTTATCATTGTGTTTTTTTGTTTTTGTAGATTTCCGGACCCAAATGTCAAGATCCCCCACCTTTCTCTTACTCTGGAAGAGGCGTTGCACCAGGTCGAGGAAGCCAACCCTGTCCTCTTTTGAATGGCAACAGATAAAAAGGGTTGGACATGTAATGGACTCGTCTCCGCCAGCAGAATTACGCACAGTTTCTGGTGAAGGATATTGCTAAATGAGACCATTGCTCTTGTGTTGGAGCACTTAAGCCAACTAATTACCAAGGGATTACTCAAGCCTCTCTTTTTGGAGACTGCTCAAACTGTTCAAATCCAATGACTGCCCGCTTGGATTTTGATTCTTTCTTACCGCGTTTGCTATTTTTTTCTGTTTGAAATGGAGTTACAGTGGCGTCTATGGAGTAAAAACTGGGTGTCTCTGATAAGCCCGTGGATCCCTATATTGCTTGGCTTGCACCTCCAGTTCTGCCGGGCCTCACAGTGCCCCGATGAATGCCGTTGTGATCGCACTTTTGTTTACTGCAACGAGAGGAGCTTGACCTCAGTGCCTGTGGGAATAGGGGAGGGTTACAAGACTCTCTACCTCCACAACAACCAAATCGATGATGCCATTTTCCCTCCGGAGCTCCACTACGTGGCCTCGGTTGAGACGGTGTATCTCTACGGCAACGAGCTGGAAGAGTTCCCTATGAACCTGCCGAAAAACGTGCGCATCATCCACCTGCAGGAGAACAACATACAGACCATATCGAGGGCGGCTTTGGCTCAGCTGCTGTGGCTGGAGGAACTGCATTTGGATGATAACTCCATATCCACGGTCGGGGTGGAGGAGGGCGCGTTTCAAGAGGCGGTGAGTTTAAAAATGCTCTTTCTCACCAAAAACCATCTGAGCAGCGTGCCTATCGGCCTCCCGGAAACTCTGAAAGAGCTGCGATTGGACGAGAACAGGATTGCAGTGATTGTAGAGGAAGCGTTTAAGAATGTCACTCGCCTGGAGCGCCTTCTGTTGGACGGAAATCTTTTGACGGACGAGGGGATTGCACCTGGGACGTTTCAGGACCTGGGGATGCTGAGGGAGTTGTCACTAGCCAGGAATTCCCTAACATACCCGCCCCCTTTCTTGCCAGGGGAGGTGCTAGTTAAGCTAAACTTTCAGGAGAATCAGCTGACAAACATCCCAGCCCAGGCCTTCGCTGGGTTACGGAGACTAGAGAAGTTGGATATTTCGAACAACCAGCTGCAGTCGCTGACACAGGGGGTCTTTGATGACCTGCTCAGTCTGAGACAGCTGACGGTTCGGAACAACCTTTGGCTGTGTGACTGCGGCATGCAGTGGGTGGTGGCGTGGCTGAAGTCGCTGCCCGGCTCGCTGAACGTGCGCGGCTTCATGTGCCACAAACCCGAGGCGTTCCGGGGAATGGTGATCAGGGAGCTGAGCCAGGAGCTAGTGCAGTGCCCACAGAGCACAAAGCCCGCGCCCCCTCTCCCCTCCACCACTACTCTGTCCCTCTCCACACATGCCCCAGTCACTAAGTTCATCAACCCCTCCTTCAAAAAACCCCTGCCCACATTTCCCACACTGTACCCCATATACACAACCAGAGAGGGGGGGCTGAGGACTAGGAGACCCCAAGACCCACGCAAAGAGGGTCTGCAGGTCACCTTTGCCATACAAAACGGCTCCGCCATCCACGTCAGCTGGGTGGCCGCCTTTCCTGTCACTGCCTTCAAGGTGACGTGGGCTCGAATGGGTCCCAGCCTGACGGGCGAGACAGTGAGGGAGAGGATTGTGGGAGGGGACCATAGGGGCATCAGACTGGCCAATCTGGAGCTAAAGTCCACCTACAGGATCTGTGTGATTCCTCTAGATGCATTTAACAACTACCGGCCCAAAGACGACACGGTGTGCACCGAGGCCGTGACCACTGCCGCCTCCTTCCGCCCGGACAACAACAAAAGGCCGTCTGGACCAGAGCAGGCCACGCAGCCCGAGCCCGGCTCTCCTTTCCTGTTAGCCGGCCTCATCGGAGGAGCTGTGATCGTGGTCCTGGTGCTGCTGCTCAGCCTCTTCTGCTGGCACATGCACAACAAGAGTCGCTCTAAGTCCTCCACCGCCTGGAAATACAACCGTGGGCGCAGGAAAGACGACTACTGTGAGGCGGGCACAAAGAAAGATAATTCTATCCTGGAAATGACTGAGACCAGCTTCCAGATAGTCTCACTCAACAATGAGCAGCTCCTCAAGGGAGAGCTGCGCATTCAGCCTATTTACACCCCTAATGGGGGCATCGGTTTCAGAGACTGCCCCTTGGGGAACAACAGCACAGTTTACTGCAAGAACAATGTTCAGGAGGCCGACTATCCGAGCACATGACGCTTCAGAGAGATTTTTACTGTCTTTATGGACACTGTATAGTGTTAATACTTGTTCAACTCCTGTGTCTTTAAAATGTAATTTATAATGGACAATATCTTTTATACAGCTATATTGGATTTATGAATTATTGCTTTCTGCAGCAGTGCTGTTTGAGTTCTGTGACATCATCATCTCTTCATTTCCCCATGAATCCGTTTACTGTTGATTTGGTCTTTGGTTTCCACACAGAGGCTGTAGGTGATGAACAACATCCAGAACAGCTAAGCATGACCCATAAGGGCCCTTTGTGAGAGGACAGGGGAGACGGCCACAATGACCATTAGAGGGCAGAGTTTTACATATACTTTGGACAGGTTTTAATCAAGTCATCAAATGATTATGGCACATTCGGTTAATTGCAGCTATAATTTAATAAAAATGCTAATGATCAGGCTCCTGCTTCAGACAGTGGAGACGATATATTTATGCAAATGCATCCTCCTCTGCCTCCAAAGGAACTCTAAAGGTCGCTCTCATTTAACATTCGCGGCGGCAGCACAGGGCACAGCTTCACCTGCTTCATGACTCGCCTGTAATCACTGGGCTGAGGTTGTGGAGTCCACCGCGAGCCAGAAGAGGCGCGGCTGGGACTGGAACAGCAAAAAAGCACATTCCCCCTCCCCCTCCCCCCTCCCCTGTACATTTGACATTTGTTGAGAAAATAATGTATGGTAAATATATGTGCCTTGAAATGATCAGCTTACAATGTCTGTTTGAATCCACGTTTTATTTGCACAAAGTTAATGTATATACGTTGAATTGAATTGTTGTTGGGGCAAATTCTGGATCTTGGTTATTTATTTACTTCATTGCATTTAATTAAAATATATTTCAAAATGACTGGGTTCTGTTGGCGCTCATTTGCAAACATGGCTCTGTTGACAAGCTAAAGCAAAGCTTTTTGGGTGCATTTTCTCTTTATTTCATTTTGATAGTGCAGGGGTCAGTCAGCAGAGAAAGCTTTTGATCCTGTAGTATCCTGTCTCTGTAACTCTGACCCCTCATATACAGATGCCGGGTCACTAAAAGGTAAGTAAGTCATCTTAATTTTTTATGCGCATTTTTACAGACCAAGGTCACCCAAAGTACTTCAGATATTGTTCCATTCTCTTCACACGGTGATGAGGGAAGTTATCACATTAAAGCTAGAAATTGATGTTTTATTGTTTATTATGCTAAACTTAATTCTTACTTCTTTATTATGCTAAGGCAGGAGGTTTTAGACTTGCTTCCTAATTGTGCTAAAGTTAAGAGACTTTTTTTATATTTAGGATAGAGTCATTGTTATTGCGCCCTTATTTTTTGATATGTGCTTCTCAACACTGCAACACTGATATTTCCCCAACTGTGGGAAGAATATAGGATTTCTTAATCTTAAACAATAATAACAAACATATAGGAGCCATTAGGTCCACAGGGGGCGGATGACCAATGTCCATAAATGTTCCGGATCATCACCACTGTCCTTAGGGAAAAAGAAGAGGAAAAAGAAGTCAAAAATTGCTGACATTTGGAAAAATCTATTGGGATTCAAGCACATTTTGACTGCCCTAAAACAAGATTTGCCAATGGGACAGAGCAAACTGATCATATTTAAACTAGAATAAATGTGTCTCTTGAAATAAGAAAATAAATTGCAGCTATTCTTGAAAAAAGACTGATGGCTTTTTCTCATTGACTAATCCTGTTTTAGGACAGTCAGAATGTGCTCAAATTAAGATAAAAAACACCTGATTTAACCATTTAATACCTCATATTGTTAAATTTTCTTTGCAGTGAAGGAACCATCCGACAGCACTTGCCTTGATTAAACTGAAAAAAAGAATAGAAAAAGCTTTTAAAATGTTTCCCTGTTCAGTTAGAGTCGGATGTCTCTCTCAGGCTGAGTGCACCTGGGTCTCACACGTGTGACTAACGGAGAGTGATGGTCCTAAAGTCAACCCAAGGACACTTCCCACACTCACAGGCCCCGTCCCAATACTCGCACTTCCACCCTCGCGCCCCTCATTTGCGCGTTCCCGATAAAGGGTGCGAGTGCGTAGGGCGTCCCAATTCTCCAGGGAGGTCTTTGGCCCCGCCCCCTTTGCGCCCCTGATCCACACTTCGCCGTAGCCTGCATCTATGCGCACTCTGGCGAAGGATATTGCCCGTAATTCTTTGCGGTACACACCAAAACTGAAAATGCAAATTTAGAAATATATATGCAGTATGTGTGTAAATAAGTTTTGCTATGTTACTTGGAAAGAAGCATAAACGTCTGATGAAGAATTACGGACATTGTGTTTTAACAATTTAATACATTTTAAAGCAAGCGTTTATAAAACATTCAATTTAAACTTTACACTTAGTGCAATAATCTTAGAATGTATAAAAACTGACCAGATAGTTAGTTACCCACATTTAACTTAAAATTATACAGCTATCTCTAATTAAAAACAACTAATATACATGTATTTTAACGTGTGTGAAGCAATTCAATTTGTTTCCCAAAGGGTCAGACAAAATTACCTTTAATGTTTATAAAGTTTAGGTCTGAAAATGACCATCTCTTGACGAGTCGATGACGTAACCTGCACTCAGTGTGCACTGTCCCAATTCTGCCTTTTTTGCACACTTGTAACCTGCGCACTCAAACCCTGGTGTGCACTTCGAACAAATGCACACTTCGTAGAAGTGTGTAGGGTGCAGTGTGGGTATTGGGACGGGGCCAAAGAATGATCAGAACAACAACAATGTTTTTTGTGTGGTTCTTTTGAAAGAGCTTTTAGAGGTGTTGCCTTGTTCACAGGTTTCAGGTTAATGAGGAAGTACGTCTTTCCACTTTTTTGTGTTTTTTTTTCTTATTGTGGAGAGCCGGACTCCATTTCATGCATTGCTCTTATATATTGAACATATATTTGCTATTTTGTGGAGTCAGTGGAAGATGGAGACTGGAGAATGTATTGCACCTTTTACCAGTAATTTGCACAAAGTTACAGTACAGTATTTAGCAGCCATTTTTAAAGTGCGGCACAATTTTCAATTTCTATCAGGGGTAGCCATGAGGGTATCGTTCGTAAGCCAATATACCCAACGGTACAGTAACTGAAAGTGAGATAACAGTAAATGTTAGTAAGATAAAAGTTTGACTGTCTGGCCGCTCGGGATCCACCGATACAGGTACCTTAACTTGAGTACTTGCCGATACCGAATACCAATACAAGTACTGCATTGTGTTATCCCTGAGAATTCATAAAACAAATACAACTGAGATTCAAGATGTTTTATTTCTCATTTCTACTATAAGAAAAGCCTTTAACAATTACAAATACAACTTTTTAGCAATTATTTAAGAACAACTTCCACTGACTTTTCTCACTTATCCAAAGTTTTTAAGTTTAAGACATTTTTGATCAAGTTGCTGCTGTTATACGCGTTTGTTTTGGACCCACCTCTTGTCACTTGTTTACTTCCAAAAACTGCCATACATCAGGTCAGCTTGCCGCTAGCTAGCTTTCCCGCTGCCGTGGCACCATGGCAACGCGTGCCGCACAGCTGTCTACTGTTGTGACCTGAATCGATATCGGTGCATCCTACCGGTAGTCATCAGATGGTACCCACAAGAGTGTCATCTGATAGTAAACGTACCCGGATCCTCACTGTCCTTAGACCCTCCTGCATCGGCAAATTCTCAATACTCCCATTTTGTTTCTTTGTGTGACCTATAACCAGAGGACACGCGAGCACTTTCTTAATAAAGTATCATTAAAGGACTTTTCTAATCCTGTATAATAACTCACCACAGGCCTATGGAGAATAATGAATGATGATCCAATAAACATGGCTCCGATATTACAACATACTCCCTTTTATCACCGCCACGCCTGTATCCAGTGAAGGATGGCAGGAGAATATTGAAACGCCAGATTTAATTGATTTTAATATATTTTTTAGAAAAGTGATTGAGGGCCACTGTAATATAGTAGACTGTGCAATATATGTAGATAATCATAAAAGAAAATGATGCACGAGATCAGATAAGGCCTTTTTAATGTATTGTTTAATAATAGACAAAGCCTGACAGTAATGATCTGTGGCACATAACGAGACATAATTGAGTGAAAGTATGTGGTATAATCTGTATGCAGCACTTCTCTTTGACTTTGTTTATAAACCTGTGTAGCGCTTATATCAGTATGTTGCGCAGAGACGGACTTGTTTTTATGCGGTTTCCATTTAATTTAAACCGGAACAACATATTGGAGCGTAAGCTACTTCAGTTGTTACAAAAATGGTTACAAAAAGTGTGTATTTGATAAGCAAAAAATATTTACAGAAGGAAAAGAGAAGGAAAAAAGGAATTTTTTAAAATATTTAGATAAAGTGTGTCGGCTCATATTTTGCATCTGCGGCTCTTCTTTTTTCTTTACCTTTTACAATGAACATTTGATTTTATTAAATATGAATTATGTTTTTTTGTACTTATGAAATGACTAACCTTCCTTGGGTATTGATTCCCATGAAATTAAATAGACGGAGGCAGTATGAATGTGTATGGGTGGTTTTGTGGGTGTGATTTAGAATTTGGGAAATGGGAAAAGGTCTGAGGGCCACATGGAAACGCTCCGTATATATCACTGCCCTGTCGAAGACTTTTGTCGAAACGCGTCGGTTCATTGTTATAAAGAACACAGTTTTCAGAGTTCCTCCTTCTCCATTTCTTTCATTGCAAACGGTTTTCTCTAACCCACGAGTTGGATGAGCACCTGTAAGTATTTTTACAATTGTTTGATCCAGTGCAGCACTCCTGCAATCCCTTCACTCAACATGCCGTATATATGTTCCCCGGGCCACACTTTGCCCAGGTACGGTACGTAGATGGACAATTTTAACGGTTGTGTGTTGGACCCCAATCCAGTGACCCGGTTAGACTCATTTATATTTACAAAAACAAAAAACAAGTAGGCAGTGGAGACAGA